CGTAAAATACTATTGGCTGGAATGTAGTACAAATGTTGTGTAACCGAAAATTTTTGGTGGTGCTCTTGGGGTAGTTTCCTATGACCCCCGAGCGGTCAGGGTACATCTGGGTTCATCCGGGTCCCACAACGATTCGGATCGTCGGTCTTTAATCTCATAATCCTGATCAGACCTATTTAACATCCCTAGAGCTATGTTTATACCAAAAAATTGCAAGGAAAACTTTTTATTAGTATGCAGGAGGCAGTTGCATAGCCAAAATTTTGAGTTACGGGCGATTTTTGACTGATTATTGTTTCTTGAACTTTTTCACGTTACATGATCTCAAACTCTAATTGGCTAGCGGAATTTTTTAAACTGGTATTTTAAATACTGTTCATCGAGTGTTCGAGCAGGTTTCAAAGCACAAAATAATAGATGAGCATAGTTCTAGATGTTGTAAATACCCGAATACATCGATCAGTATTTTATTTCATTAGGAAAATTTATTTATTACGGAAAAATCATAGATTTAGAAATCACTTTTACCGATTACTACGTTATTTTGTGTATGTTAAAGCAGAATATATTAAAATATTTTCATAATTTACTACTTAAAAGACTATATACGTATTTTGCCAATCGTATGCCATTAAGTAACACTAGGTCAAGTAATCCTGCTTGCTACTCGAATTAATTTGCTATTTTATGGGTTTTTTTATTTACCTTAATTTACTTAAGTGCGCGTCTGGCGCTTTTATTTTTATAGTTTAAGATAATAATAGAACGTCGATATAAGCATAATATGTAGTTTTGGGACAGCCTTATTTTTATGAATTCTAAATAATTACCCGACATTTTTAAAAAAGAGAAAAAAGAAAGAGATATAAAATTCGACGATGCAATAAAAATGATTTCCGATATTTTTTTTGATTGTGCCAATTATGATCATATACTATAACCTTTTTATCACCACAGTGTTTTTATCCAGTCAAACCACAAATAAATAGCCAATCAGAGAATTGATCACAACGCCAATTTTTAATTATATACCGATATATTGAAACATTTTAATAACTCTGATTTGGAAAATCTGCAGCATTATTATAACCTCCCGAATTTTCCACGGGGAAATCCTCAGGAATATCCGCAATAGTGTGAAAACCTTCCGGCTGGGTGCAACTATAAAGTCTGACAAGCTTTTCAAATTCGACATAAAATTCCATTTGATTGATAAAATTTTCCGGCTGGATATTAAATTCGACACGAGTTTCCGGATGAATGTTATCTTCGATATCTTCCGGTTGATTATCATCAATTGCTTGACCCTGATTTGTTTCCGTTTGTTGATTTTGAAGCTCATTTTCAGGCATCTTTTGAGTTTGACCAGTAGGTGATTTGGATGAGCTCCCAGGTTGGGGAAAGCGAATTATTCTCACATATTGTTGTAATGATGGATTATCATTTCTTTTAGACCGTTTTTTCATGAGTCTAGCCAGCCGTTTTTTCATTGACTGAGAATTTTGATTCTTAAACTTGTAAATTTTCGACATAATGAGTTATGGTATAGGATATTTTACAAAGAGATACGGCAATACATTTTGAAAAATTACTTTATTATAAGTTTAAATATACATTCGTGTGTTAAACTAAACAATAACGTTAAATATCCATATAAGACAATTTGTAATTGCAGATTTGATGATATACCCTAATTTAGTAAGAATTAATAAGATTCAGCAATCATTTATTAAAAAACAGAAACAAGCCGTTAATTGCCGTTTAAAGAATATCCTTAACAGTTAAAAGGAAATAAATTTTTATGTAATTTTAGAGATGTTTTTACTACGTTGGTCTAATTTTAATGATAATTATACTGGTTCAAAGAGCAGGTCGTAAAAATAAACTGAAAACATCGGTAGTCCTTATGGTTTGTAACACCGGCACGATTAAATGATGTAACACAATAACCGCCTACAAGCATAAAAAATCCATTTTTATCTATTTCTGTATTTACTAAAAAAGTAAATTAGCATTTGGCGTATTTTATAAGTAAATAACAATGCGTATATTTTTGATATCCATCGAGTTAACTGGTTACCAGTAAATATTTGAGGCCATTAAAGTTAGTTTCAGAAAAGTATATTACTGTAAATGAGTAGCGCATAAAAAAATAATCAAATGAATAAAAAAAAACGCCTCAAAGTTGTAAATTTTTCATTTGGTAATATCCAAAATATATATTGGTGTTATGAAAATAATTTAAATGATTTAAATCATATGACATTCTGATGGTACCGTAGTTATTTGTAATTTAAGGAAATCAATATAAGAAAATTGCCAAGAAATCGTAATTATCCTAATTAGACTATTTCAATTTATCTTTATTTGTCCCTCATCGAGGAGGTACTCTAAATGAAACTACGAAAATAATTTTGGGTATCTGTCTCTCCTGCTTTGTGTCATCGTCCAAATATAACGCAGAATTTAAAAGCATCGATAATTGTGCAGGTGAATATTACGCTCTACTAATCATACCTACCTGAGCGTAACACCTGCAGTTACATAAAGATTATTTTCTCTTTATGACTGTCGTCTCGACAGGCCACCTACTAAAACTTGAACCAAAGATTTGACTGTCGTCCCGACAGGCCAAATCTACTGAGCAACCTACATATATACCGTTTACAATGCTCCCTTGTGACTGTTGTCTCGACAGGCCACCTAACTAATGCTAAGACTCTGCCTGTCGCTTGACAGGTCAAGCCCTGTTACGATCCAAAGAATTTCCAACAACATTTGGTTAGCATATATATATACAAGGGGGGGTAAGGGAGGGGCGAAAAAACCAGACAAAGTCGGGTTAGCAAAAAAAACAGAAGTTATCGTATTTGGGAGAAAACCCGTCCCTTAAATATGATCCATTGATTACAAATCAAATACTGATCAAAATACTAATCAAATACTAATCAAATACTACGTAATTACGTCGTTACTACACAAAACTCTAACAACGTAATTACGTCAATACTATAATAGACTCTTACGATAAACTCAAACCAATTTACACCGTTATTACTCTAATGCCATATACTATTTTAAACTCTACTGATAAACTCTAAATCAATTCCCGATTGCAATTTTTACATGGTTACGCAACCCTATCATAGGTCTAACAATACCATAGACAATCACTACGTAATTTCATAACTATTACCTCACCTAATCTTACTAATAATCATTCGATTAAGGGTTCATTCTCCATGATCGATTCAAGACAAAATGCTGCTCTGATACTTTCATATCGGGCAGCTAATTTTGTCCCTCATTGAGGAGGTACTCTAAATGAAACTATGAAAAATAATTTTAGGTCTTTGAGAGAATCACCATGGAACTTATCATTAGCAATTACAAGATTTGCAACCTATAGTCCTTTCTCTCTTTTTTTTTTTTTTTTTCAAAATCCCATTAACTGCGACACCCCTAATTCTGCTATACTAATTGCTCTCATGTACAATTGTACTGCCCTTGATGTCCATCCTCCAATCGACTGGATTTGTTCCAATGTCATACCCCCTTTCATGATTACTGTTGCACCTCCAATCCTTAAACTATGTCTGTATACTTCTCCTATAATTCTGCATTCTCTGCAAAATGCTTAACTATTGCTGAAATCGTTTTCACAGATAACTTCCCACCTGATTTTGACAGAAACAATGGTTCCTCAGGTGCTGTCTTTGGCCTTATTTTCAAATATATATGTAACAACCTGACTGGACAGATACTACTTACTATTTCTTCTACTGAAATAAACTTGCTTCTTCCTAGTTGGTCTGTCTTAGACCTTACAAGCTTAACCCATAATTTCCCATCTCTTTCAATGACATCTAATCTTCTTAGATTTCCTAAGTCTCCTGGTCTTTGCATCACTCTCAATCCTAAAGCCACCAATGCTACATCACAGGTTTATGTTTGTATACTCAATCCCGAAGACAGAGATTCGATATATTGGCTTACTATTGCTACTGGTAGTAGATCTCTCGGTTATTTCACTTCTATTTTCCTCTGTGTCACAACCTTCTTAACTCCTGTTACTACTAACCAAATCACATTTTCTTTTGTTAGATCATTAAGATTTCTCAACTTATGTTTCCTTGTTATTACAGATAAGCAGACTGGAACCTCTGTTGCCCTTTTAGATACCTTCAACCATGCAATAAAAGCCAATAACAATTCTACCAAAGTTGGGTAGGGGCCCATGCCTATCTGATGTGCAAACTCTTCAAACACTGCTTGCACTTTTTCTAGACACCTCCTGTAAACATCACTAATAGATGCATCCATCAACACTCTTGCTCTTCTGAGCAGTTCTCTGACCAATTCAAAAACACTGCCTTCAGACATCACTGGCTGTTCTTGCATGGCTCCCTTATGGCAGATGGATCTTGCTGGATAATTTGGTCTGGTGCTGATAGGTCTATCTTCATCCTGGGTGAATTTACGACAATTGGCTACCACAGGGCCGAAATTCATACTGGAATTATGATTACAATCCACGCCCTGCACTCCTTTGCATGACACAATGCATTGTGAATTTGACCAAATAGTAAGCACATGTAATTTCTCACTCTGGCCCAATTTTGTGTAAAACAATCCATGGTCTTCACATCTGGGCAAAAATAAAGATTTTTGAACTTTTTGGTTTTTGCATTTAAGTGACTCGCAAACCTGTCAACCTCGAATTTCTCCCAAGCATCCTCTAATCGTCTTACCATCCTTGAATCCAATACCCAGTCTCCTGAATCCAATACTCTCGTTAACAAATCTGCCAGATTTATTCCACTTGGGATCCATCAAGTACTGAAAATTCCTATATCATTTTCTATGCACACCTTCCAAATTTGTCTTGTGATATCCCTTTACCATTTGTCACTCCTCTCATAAAAACTGTCTTTTGGGCTACCTTGTTGTCTATAAACAAGGTAACCTATAAACTGCTCAAGAGGTCCTTGAATGACTGCAACACTCTTAACACTGCTAGTGCCTCCAGCTGTGCTATCACATTTGATCCGTGAGAATGCAGCCAGCTCCCTGCTGCCTTGTGCTCTTAGAAAATTCCACACCAGCTGATCGTTGATGCATCAATATATACTAACTTGACTTGAAAAGGTTTCCAAGTAGACCAATCATTCCATCTTCTCAAGTTCTTTACCAACCAATGGATGTCCTCGATTGCTTGTGTTGATAGCTAAATTTTGTGGTCCCATTTTCATAGCACATGGTTCCTGGCATCTATAAGCTTGTAGAACTCTATACATTTCACTTAACTTGGAAGAAAGGCCTTCGACAAACTCATTACCTTTCCAGCCACTGATGCTAGAGTTCTTGCTGTTATCATCAACAACTCCAAAAGTGTCTCCAACTTTGATATAGTTAAAACAATCTTCTCTTCTGGCACTATTACGACCCCCTTTATCATATCCACAATCATTTCACAGAACCTTAGCTCCTGTGTTGGGTTCCAACTCCCCTTTTCCTCCATTCGAATCCACCCACACCCATCCAAGTCGATCTTCACAACCTCCTCTCTTATTTTGATTAAAACATCCCACCTCGAGTATGCCACCCAAATATCATCCAAATAACACCCATAGTAGATTCCTTATGACCACCACTTGCCGATTAAAGTTCTCATTATTTTGGAGAAGACTTGTGGGGCTTGGATTAAACCAAACAGCAACACCCTATAGTGGTACCATGTCTCTCTTATTGCAAACCCCAGTAACCTTCGAGCTTGTCATTCATTATAGCATAATAATAACCCTCCTTGAAGTAGAATGAGATTGACCACCAGTCCTGACCGATCATCTGTAACAAACCTTCTAAACCCTCAAACTGAAAAGACTTTTGGGGCAATGTATGATTCAATCTTCTTAGATCTATCACCAACTGAACCTTCTTGGGACCCTCTTTCAAAAATAGAAACACAGAGCTTACCTCTAGTAGGTCTGTTGGACAAGTATTTCCTTTGCCTATCTTCCTTATCATACCTGAATTCTCCAACCTTGCAAGCTCGACTTCTAGCCAACATTTCTCTTTTGCTGTGAAATTGTATGGCCTTGGGTCTGGCTCGTTTATCAACTGCATAAGGTTTCTTAGGAACAACAGGATTCCTTTTCTCAACTATTTCATAACTAGCTTAAATGGTTTTATTTCCTTTTCCCAGTAGGATACCGCTTCTGAGCTGTGAATTCTTCCTGTTACAAGTACCCCCATTGCTTCCTCCACTTTCTTTTTTGGCTCCTGAGTGTAGTCAACTCTTCTTTGGTCTGAACTGTCTTCTCGAAAGGGCAACCCAATATGCTTCATCGAGCTATACTCACTCGCAAAATGCCCCTTTTCCTCATATAGATAACAAATCAGCTCAATTCCTCTAAAGCTTTTGCTTCTTTCTGGCCTTTTAGGTCATTGCGTAGCTGGGTAAACTAACTGTTGCTGCAGTAAGGGGACCACCTCTGGTGCAAATTGGTGACCCATTAGAGATGCAAATTGA